CCTCCGCACTGGCGTGGCCAGAATGGAAGTCTTCCGTGTGCATCCGTCTTTGTTTGAAAAGGCGGTGAATGTGGCATTGAATGCCGAATTCAATTTTAAGTCGGCACGACTTGGTTGGAATGCGCACTCCAACAGCTCGTCAAGCGGGCCAATGCTCATGGACCTCAGCTATGCTGAGGACGAGGGAGCAGAGCTCCGAGCTGCCGCGCAGCACACAAGCACACGTCGGTGTTTGTTTGTGAAGACACCCGTTATCTTTGGAACAATTGCCCCCTGCGCAAGGCGCGTCAAGGTTCTTTGAACCATTGCCCCAATTCCTACCAGTCTGGTTCCTCGCGGGGAAACGGCACCACCCAGTAGGCGCGGGCAATCAACTGGGGGAAAACTGAGTTCTGTTGAGCCTCAGGGAGGCATAGGTCAACAGGGCCCAGCCCCGAAAAGCTCCGTGCTCTTGAACACGGAACGTGTATGCAAGCCGAGCTTGCTGGTCGTGGGAGCGACCGTAAAGGGCTTCGAGAAGTCATGGAAGATCCTAATCGATTCCGGGGTGTCGGGCAATTAGGCTCGACACTCCACGTTGGAAGGAAGTCAGCTGTATGCTGAGGCGCTGAAAGCGCGGTTGGGTGTCATCTTCACTGTTCGCCTAGAGACGGGAACACGTGTCACAGTCCCGAAGGTCCCTGTGGACCTCGAAGTCTACTTTCTTAACTTTGACAGCGTGGAACGCTGTCTAGTCTTAGACTTGGATGCAAGGTATGACCTCATCCTAGGAATGGCATGGTTGGAACACCATGAGCCATGGATTGATTGGAGGTCAAAAAGCGTGGGCGCTACGCGCACGTCTCCTAGTGGAGCTTTGGCGACTCATGAACCTACCTCTGCTAGGAGACAAAAGCGCTTTGGCTAGAGCACTGAACCGAGACGGTCAACGCGCTGGACATTGATATGTCCGAGTTGGTAGACACCAACGGTGTATCGGACAGTAGTCCCGAGCGTGGCTCGGGGCTTATCGTGGAGTGGCACGTAACTCACTGAGCGCTGCTTAAGTTCCGGTGCAGTCGCTGCATGTCATGCATGAAATGGTCGGCCAAGGGCCGAGGCATCGAGGGCGAGTCCACCGTGATACACGTGAAGTGGCACGTAAACCACTGAGTGCTCTTGTTGCGAAGCAGTCGCCGCATGCCATTGATGGCGTGGTCGGACAGAGCCCGAGACATCTTAGGCGCGGCCCTTCAGATGCGCGTGGAGTGGCACGTTATTCACTGGACGAAGACTGCGGGGTTAGCAGCTCTTCGTGGGATGTTGTAGATAACATCGGAGCTCCAAAGGAGCGCACAGTGAGGGTGACACCGGACGACGCGGAATGCGTGTTCACTCTGGTC